TGGACTACATTTTTACAAAATACTAGTTATGAAGGGATATATTGAGATTTCATAGCAAGCAATTCCACATATTACTTTACAAAAATTACTACTTAAAAACCAAGGTGTTGTTCTCCATTCAACCAGATATACATACTGCCAGAGAGAAGGAGGAAAAACTGATCACGTCATTTTTTTGCACGCTAATTTACCAAGTCAAGTAAAGATGATTTATAACGGAACTTAATGCTGTTTCAGTGCTCTGTTGGTTACAACCCATGGTGTCAGCAGCTACACATTTGCCAGACCAAATCAAACATCTTTTTTATTTTCCATGCTCATACTGTGTTTTCTACACTAAAAAGAATATGGCATGTCAAGAGGCTACATTCTATATGTCAAATAAATTCACTGGATTGAGTTGTGCCTTCCAACAGAGTTTTAGAACTTCACACAGTGAAGTGAGTGGAACTAAGGACTGAGCACTTAGTCTAATTTAAGTATCAAATGTTCATGTAAAATATGTAATCCTTCTATTAATATATATAGTATATACAAGAGTATATTGTAGGTACAACATATTAGTAGACATTTAGTATAATAATAATAATATTCTATATATAATAATCTGTTGATGCCAGTTCTGGTCTGACAAATCAATGACTATACTCCCTTAAGAACAGGCAACCGAGGTATAAAAGGAGAAAAATACTGTGGAGCACACAGTAGCTGATAGTAGGCATAGAGACAATTTTTATATCTCTGTGGGAAAAGTAATGATACACACTCCACAGAGATGTGCTTCTAAATTCAGAATTACAGTCCTAGCTAGGTTAAGAATAAAACCACTTCTTTAGCTATGGGATCAATGCTAGTTTACTTCTTCTGGATCTGTCAAACAAGATGTGTCCGCTAAATTCCACATCTGAAGATAGAAATGTTAGGCTGAATCTGAAGTTAAATGTTAGGATGAGTTGCAGAAAATAGATGTCTGGGTTGATTCTTATACAAGTCATGTAATTGGTGTCAAAGATGCTTTTGTCACAGTACAGGATTTCACAGTGAAGGCAGGGCTGACTGCTTGCTTCATCATGACTAAGTTATATTTAAATGCTGGTTTTGAAGGAAATATTTTAGTATTAACTTATGCTTATATACAAATGCTGCAAATGAGGTGCAGAGTCTGTGATTGAAGAAAATGAGGCACAGAAAAGCTTAATCCTTATCTTATTATCCAATGTACCACTGATATCATCGGCACCATAAATTGAAAGTGCCACCAAAGAGAAGAATGGTTCCATCACATGGAGTAGGAAGGCTCTGAATTATCAGTGGGTTCTTTTCTTCAACAGTACTGACAGGGTACATGTCCAGAGTCTCCCCAGACAGTTTTTGGGAACATTTAGCTATGGCTATCATGCTGTTCTTACTACAACTGTTTTCATGAGCATCCTCTATATTTTTTAAATAATCAATAATCCTTTTTTTAAAAAAATCTTTGATCTGAAAGTACCTGTAAACTTTGAAATAGCAAGAAAATCCTCGCAGTGAAGAGAGCCTTCTTTCTTCCTAAGATATGGCCAGGGAATGTTATCTGGCTTGTGAGGAGAGTCAAAAACCTCTGAAAACTCTACTCCTCGCTGTGATGAAACCTGATTTGTTTCTCTGAAAGTATGTAACATTTTTTAACAAGTATTCATAGACCATAGATGGTCATGGTAGAAAAACAGTATAATGTACCAATGTCTTAAAAGTTACTCAGTGACTTCAGCAAAAGGCTCCTTGGCGGTAGAAAATGTATGGCCTACTAGCGCATATTTGGGTTGCAGAGGGTGCTGCAGAACTGGGGCTTGATTTTCTCTACTACACCTTCATGTTAACTGCATATTTTGACCAGAGCATGTATGCTTTGAATGCTTTGAATAAAAAGATATGCTAAGCTCTACAAATGTCACGATTGCTTAATGTAGCCTCTGATTGCCATTAAACATACAAATACATGTTCTTGTATTAGTTTAAATGTTTGGTTCTAAGTAACTTTTTATTCTGCTAGCAAAGATAGAAACTCTCCTTTAGAAATATTTAGAACAACACACCCCAAACATAATAACATTTCTGCTTTTTTGTATATCATCACAATAGGGGATATCACAAGACATTTCTTGTGCCCACAGTCAAATTTTAAATTATGCATATAGGCCACGTTGTTCTGATTTTTCCTAGTCACACATCACAGCTATTGTTTTAGAAAGAATCCTCCCACTATTAGGATTTTATGCTGAACTAGGTTTTCAGATTTAAAAACAATGTAAAACATGTATTTCTTAATAGTGTCCTTTTAAATACCATTTGATTGCTATACTTCCATATAATTTATTATTGAATATTTATCTTACATTTCTCCAGTTTGTGCAGAAATCATAATACTTGAGAATATGTATAATAGGTGTTTTTATATCGTGCAATACAATTCAGTGAATGAAAATTTTATGAAAGAGGTGAATCATCACAATAGGAGTTGTGTGATTAAAGCAGAAACTGTCACTGAAATGATGCTAGTGAAATTACCTGTCATTCTCTGGAAGAAAGTCTAAGATAGATAGATAGGGCACAAGTTACTTTTTGATGACAGAAATAGCAATACTTTGACCAGCAGAAATTCATTGTTCATGGAACCATAGAAAATAAAAAGCAGAGGAAAATACTAATGGCATTATTCGTCCATTGTGCCTATTTCAGGTCAGTCGGGTGAATATCCCAAGCTGTCTTTTTCAAGGTGTTCATAGAGAAAACAGAGACAAAGTATGAAGAAAAGTCCTATCAGTTTTGTAAACTTTAAGAGGAACGTGTCCCGTTTTAAAATTCCCTCATTCAACTGAAACAACACATTATTTTAAGTGTGACAAGCACTCTCCTACGTCAATAGAATCCACATTCCACAGCTGATATTGCACACCAAATTTAGGAGAGATGCTGCCTCTCCAAAGAAATACAATTCAAAGTAAGACAAAGAGAATACACTGTCAATAAAGTTTTCTAGTTTTTTCACTTTCAACTGTAACTACAGTAGCTTTGACGCTGTTCTAACATGCACAAACACAGAAGTCTTTTGAAAGTGTTGCATAACACTTATGATTGCTAAAATACAACATATTTCCCTCCCCCTTACCCATTTTTGTGCATGTTTGCCATATTTGGGCCCAAATGCCAAATTTCTGACCCAGTTCGAACTCAGAACACTTTTTCTGGCAAAGGAGAAGAGAAAATGGGGAAACATGCAAATATATTACAACTTCTTTCAGTGGAGTCAAGATCCTACAATAGTTGTAGTTTCTGATTTTTTACAGCTAAAGGTTCCTTAGATTTCTAGGCAGTGGCCTAACTTAGAATATCCATCTCAAATAGATTCAGAAGAACCAGGTTCAAGTCTAATCAGAACCAAACAGAATGTGGACCTGTACTGGTCTACCCTATCAAATTCTAGCCTCATTTCTCTGTCTTAAAACAAGTTTGGAAAGATCTTAGCTCAGTAAGAGTACTTTAGACATCACTCTGCATAATTTGTCTACATTTTTTTCATTAATAGGTAAAAGTCTGAAAATAAATATTTATGGACTACAGAGAAACAAACACACTTGTCATACAGTAGCAACAAGCTGCTGAGCACTTTGCTTACTATACATAGGAAAAAAACACATTTCAATTGTTTTCTTAAGTCATGCTAAGTAAATGAAGGTGTGGAATAATGCCCCATTCAAATAACAAATAATAATTGTATTCAAGGAAAAGGAAAATGCTCTGCTTCTAATATACTATTTGTGATGTGCCTACACCATGACTGGGGTTACCCCAGATGAGGCCAGTATGCTAGGAAATTATCAACATATGCACCATATGTACCACATGCTGCCTTTATTCTTCCACTTTGCTTTAGACATCCACTCAAAGACAGGATATTGGACTAGATAAAAGTCCAGTCTGACAGTATTGCAATTTTTATGGTCATTTGTTTTTGTTTTCAATTTATAAGCAAGAAATATATTTCCTTTTTAAATCACTAGACTGGATGAAATACCATTTTGAAGATTTTAAGATACTTTTATGTTATATCTATTGTTGCATTAATACTTGAAACACTGATTTTCAATCTATTTTAAATGAGTCAGTCTTTATACATTCACCTTTCAGATGCTTGTATAAAATTCAAATGTCAGTTGCATATAAACCTACAACTTTTCCTTTGGCCTTAGCTCTCCTCCCCCTGCACCAGGTGGTACATACATGCTAGAATTTTCCCAACAGCTTTCCTCTTTCAGACTCATTTGTTCCTTTCCACTCCCATGCAGCCTTTTCTCTTGGGCTGGCAAAAGCATTTAGGTGGATGTGCTGTGAATAACATTTTATAAACTATTCCAGATTAAAATTGGCAATTTTAACTGGTTTATTTTTGGTGTATGTCAAAGTATTAAAATGCCTTATCCAGGAAAAAATATTCTTTTATATACTGCAACTATAAAATATGTTGCTATACGCTTACAGTGTCGTATCTTTTAAGAAACGTATTTTAACTGTTGAATATTTATAATTAAATATCTAACCTAATCAACATTGACCATATTTTCAAACATATAACCCATGCCTCAGATAATCTTAGAAATAATGTTCCTTAGTAATAAATCCTCAGATGTACTGTTAGCACACACAAAACTAGGAGAAGAAATAAGCATAATCAGAAGCAAGGTGGCTACCAGGCAAAGACAAGCAGATTAAAGAGCAAAAGGAATTTCAGGAAAGAGGGAGCACAGAATTAAAATTCTCCTTATCTAACCTGAACATACACACAACCCCAGTTCTGTTGGATTCCAAGGATTCATAGTTTAAGGGATTTTTTGGTTATTTGTTTTGTTTGGGTTTTTTTTAAAGAATAATCTATAGCTATCTGAAAGCATTATAAAACCATTATAACAATGAAGGTGCTTTGGAGATGCATGCATTCGAACATGCTAAGAAACAAAGGTTACCTTTTCAATTTGATTTTGTGATGCAATAGTCTCATAGTTATCCTGCCCTGTGCTGTTCTTAAACGCTACAGTTCTGTCAGAGGTGTCCTCAGTAATTTTCTACATGCAGTTGGAAATGACAGGCTTGGTTTTCTTTTCCATGACACCATTATGAAGAACCAGGCCATTCAGTGTCCAAGATACTTTCTTCATTAATGACAGATGGTCTGAAAGAAAAAAAGAAAAAAAAAAAAAGTAAAGTCAATATTTGGCTTCAAAATTAAAAACAGACACATCATGTTCCCCTTTCCCTATTACCTTAAAAATACACACTGGCCTGTCTCCACTCAGACGCTGGTATATTCTGAAATACTACCACCAGCTTCCTACTAACCATGACATAAGCTGTAGCAAGCTGTCTGCAGTGATAGCCTGCATAAATCATCATTCCTGAAGGGAACAGATGTTCAGGGTATGAAAGAGTAATACCACAATTTAGTCATAATTAAAATTCACCTTAGCATGCCTCTATCAGTGAGCAGAGAGGAACATTTCACTTCTCACCTACAAAAATGAAATGCCTCTCATTTTTTCTGCCTCAGGAAAATTAAGCCTGAACCTTTTGTACGTTGTTTGAGTTCCATATCTGACACTGCATCATATAAATGACATTTTTATTTCACTTCAACTGTTGGTTTTTTTCTTTTTCCAAACACTAGAAAATGACCTCTAAGTGGTATGCTGCTTCTGCACAAAATGCACTTACAATTAAATCTTCAAAGGAGATTGTTGTACATTGTATGCAGAAATATAATCAGTAGCTATCCAGCAACAGCTCAAAACTGTGCCAATAGACATATTCATTGTATGGATAACAATTCAGTCTGAGCTGGATATATTTAAAACCTTAGGGGCTGAAGGTCTTTAAAATTATTTAGTAATCTAAGATCACTAAAATCAGTGGGAGTTGGAGGATTAACTCAGTTAAAAATTTGATCCTTAGCCTTGTAACTGCCGTTAATGTTAATGGAATGTGTCTATACACATAATTTCAAAAATGTAAGCTTCATACTGCTATTATTACAGTTGGATTAAATTAGATGTATGACAGTTCTTTTGAAAAATTTGTTTCAGTCCACAAATCTTTATATCATGAGGCTGCTTTATCATGAAATATAAAGCATGTGTTGATTATGTTAATAAATACATCTCTAAACCCACTAAAGTGTAAATGGCTGAGCTTTTCATAGTGATTTAAAGTTCTAAGACAAGAGATAATTTACATTTTCATCAGCATTGTCATTGGCAAGCAATTTGAAAAAAATCTGTCATTAAACGACGGTTTAGTTTCCCAACTAAATATCTTTAGTGACTTCCAACCTATGAAACTTCACACTGGATTCTAAAGTCCATGGATTAGATCCTCAGTGAATGTAAATTAGCTAATTTTATTAAACTCAACACAGCTACGGTAACTTACCAGGACTGAGAATGTGAATTTACAAATTTATCACTCTAGTAGGGGTCATTTTGTAACCAAAGTTACTTCTAAACAAGTAAGTGAATTTCAAATTTACATTTGAAAAATTGTGGTTTGTTTTCTTCCACAAGGATGTATCTACATCAGCATTTTGGTTCGAACAAAGACTGCAATTTTTAAGGGAGGAACCTATAGCTTCCACTTAATGTACTTGATTTGTATCGCAGAGCAGTTTCAAAGCATGTAAACTGATATCCTTTGGATGAAACAAAACCAATGGATGCACTCCAGAGGTGTATGTAAAACCCATCCATATGTCTACTGCACAGACTAGAGCTAACCCAGAGTAAAATCTCTTAAAATGTGTATAGTGGGGAAGTTCCTCTGTACTAACTGCTTCGTTCCACAGATCTGCTTCTCTGGCGTTGTACAACTTGTTAACACAGATGTAGCATCATTCTGCTGCTCCCTTCTCCGGAGCTCTTTCTGTTACTTTAGAATTTATTGATTTTGCTTTATCTTTACTTTTGAAACAGCTAAAGTGTGCACTTGCAGTTGTCAGGAAGGTATTTTGTGGTTGCTGTGAAAACCAATTGGCATGTGCACTTGGTATGAACTAGAAATCTGCTGCTAAGTCTCTAAACATTCCCATTGTTACTGATCAGGTTCCAGCATCAAAGGACTTTGCTAACTCTAGTTGTACTCTGTAGACTCTTGGGCTCAAAATAGCCTTTTACATAGTATATTTAAAAATAGAATGCCAGGTAGGATAGACATTGGTGAACAGCATTAGTTCTTACCTGCCACAAATAAAAGTAAAAATGCTAGATTGGGAAATGGAGGGAGGCTTCACTGAATGGCATTAACAATTCTGTGTGTTTCACAGTCCTTATTATTAAACAATTGGGAAATGCTTTTATTTGATTGACTGTTCATTTAGAAAGCATGAAAGACTTACTAAATCTGTTTTAGAAACTGGACCCCTGAAAAGTTGTGCAGGATCTCACAGAAGAGCTTGAAATAATCTCATCTCTAAAAGGACATGCTCAAATATCAACCACTTATCCATACAGAAAAGTTACTTCTTACTTCAGTAACAACAACAGTTTGTGACGACTTTTTTCTTTTTTTATATTAATCACTCCCATCTGTGTGAAAAGATTATTCTGGTTGACTGTGTAGGATACCCTGTCCACTCAGCATATAGGATGGTTTTGACTATCTCTTGGTCCCTCCACCAATACAGATTCCAAGTCATATGAGACTGTAGTAATGAGGAAGACGCATCTCAGAATTCATACGAACAGCATATCTTGAATGACACCTTCATGTGACTTACCCATTAATTCCACTTCTCATCACAAGAAAACAGTGATCTTGTAGTAAAGAGGTGGTTGCAAGACCAATTTAACTACTGGTTAAAAAACCCATCTCTACCAAAACAGATCTTAAAATCTCAACTAAGCAACACCAGTGAGTAAAAAGATGGACTGAGTGTCATCTGGAAATTTTTGAAAATTATATGTTTTCAGAGAAATTGGAGAAGGTGATTCAGCCCTGGAAGAAGGGGCTTTAACATACATTGACAAATCTAGTCTATGTCTGTGCCATGATATAGTTTGGTAGGTTATTCATTTATGTACTTAGATGTATATTATGTGCTATTTCTCATACAAGTTGGCTGTTATAGAACAGGAAAAGGATGCTTTTCAGTTTAGGTATGCTACACTAAGTAAGTGCAGTTTGGTTTTCTCCTGAGCAGAGTGGTACTTGGAAAAGAAGTAGCAGCTGATTTAGGTTATAATGAAAGACGACATAAGGTAAAACTTAGAGATTGCTTGGCATTGAATGATAAGAGCAAGTAGACGCCTAAAGGCAAATTTAGAAAGATTATAGCCACCTAAGCCAAAGAATGCAATAAAGAAAAATTTTGACCACCCTTTAAGGTTACATCCACAGTACCGCTTAAGGCTGGCTGGAGAATTGCTCAAGCTTGTCTTTATTCTATAGTATAAGCCTGCAAAGATGCTTCAAGCACAGTAGGAATAAGCCCTCTAGGAATCTGCATGGCCAAAAATGTTAAGTATGACAGTTCGTTCCCAGCCTTGACTGAACAAGATGTCAGTATGGCTGTTATGTGCACGGAGGGCGGGCACTATGTGGTAATAAATATACTTCTGCCACTTTAGAGCAGCTTAGACATAAAATCAGGTACTTGAGTGTCTTTGTGTTCCCTTATTTTCAACAATAAATTACTTTGGCCACCTGAAATTGTCTGTACATTAATGCTGCTGTGCATCCTTAAGCCACCATGATCCTAACTGCTTTGAGAAGTTTGACAGCTACCAATCTTTTGGGGCTCACAAACCAGGAATCTCCAAAGCAAAATTCCCTCATTCCCTCCCCTGCTAAAAATATTTTGAGGTCTTCACGTGCCTTGGATGTATGACAGAAATAGAGCAAATATAGACAATGTAGAAGATTGCTGTGGTTTGTAGGGAGAATATACTCTGTTAAACTAACAAGCACAATAAGAAAAAACAGACAAGCTGTTTCACACATAAGTCCTTCTTGCATTGCTTAAATACTTAGATCATCTGTAAAGACCTACTACTATTACTACAACACAACAAGTGGATTTCATTCACTTTCAGGGCTGGGAATAAAGTGCAGCATCATCACATAAAAGGAGAGGTTGAGAGATTGTGGAGAGAAGGCAGTTGATGGGAGGTCTAACCGCAATCTTCAACTACCTAAAGAACATCTTTAAGAAAGACAGAGAAAGAGATTTCTCAAAGGAGCGCAGTAAAAGGACATGAGGAAACAGTCAAAGCTGCAGCATGGGAAAAATCAACTAAATATAAGGAAAAAAAAAAATACAATAATTAAGCAGTGGAATGGCTTGCCCAAAGAGGCTGGGGAATTTCCATCTTTGGAAATTTTCAAAACTGGTCTGGATAACGTTCCAAGCAACCTGTCCTACCTTTGAAGTTATCCCTATTTGAGGAGATTGGGCTAGATGACCTGCAGAGGTCCTTTTCAAGGCAAATTGTTCTGTGATTCTCAGTAATCTGCCACTGCATAGCAGATAGTTGTACAAGCTACTGCCAGCCATAATGTACCTTAATTTGTTAACTACTAACTTAACCCTAAGTGCTTTATACCGCACATTTACAAATTTTTACTTAGTTTTTTTATACACATCATTTACATAAATTTTTATGCCAGAATTTACCATAATTTCAAACATTAAATTATATCTTTGGTATTATGCTTAATTGATTTAAACAAGATCAGCAACACCAGTCAATAGCTTGATACAGAAAGTGAAGACTGTTAGCAAATTGACAATACACTGAGAACTGTGGATAAGCAGAATATATTACCTTAACGGAAATAACCCCCCAAAATACACAGTAACACTACTAGTCAAAGTGGCTGTAAAACTTTAGCAATATCAATACAGCAGAGTTATAGTTCGAATTCATATATCAAGGAAAACCATTCTCCAGAAAAAGAATTCTTAACAATATGGTGATATAGAGGTTCACTATTAAGAATGAAAAATAACAGAAACAAACTCAGAGCACTTACATTTTCATTTGACATTCCCCATCTAATTACTGACTACACTGTTACTGATCTGAGCGCAGGTTTGTATAGTACATGCATTTCCTGTTACACTGAACATTCAAAATTCAGTTTTCTGACTCTGCCAGCACCTATCCCCTTCATTCACAATTGCTT